AAATACTGACCTCACTGAGGGGCCTTACAGAGACAGGTGTGTTCTGACATTATTGCACACAGTGGCCATTCAGCAAATTGAGTAATTTGCCAAATTAATTTTGTACTTCTGAACCTTCAAAGAAATCGCCTAACCAAATTTAGGAATGCAGAGCTGGAATCGAGAGGTACTGTATGCAATGACTCCACTGAAAAAGGCAGTCTGCAGCCCAAGTCAGAGGTTGCTGTGCAAATCTTCAGCTGAGCAAAAGAGCTGCTGATGGGAGACAAGCATCCAAAGGAAAGCAGGAATCCAGTTTACTTTGGGTCTGAGCCGTGGGTCTCAGAGAGCAGATGGAACTGTTTGGGGGAAAACATCAGGGGCTGACGCCACACCCAGACGGATGCCTGTGGGGAGGAGGGGGATGGAAAGAGAAAGGTTACCCATTGCTGTCACTTCCTAACACTGGGGGTGGAAAAGGCTGTGAAGGAGAAGCACAGACTTGACACAGAAGGGCGCAGTGGGTGTCAGTGGCCAAGAGGTCTCCTAGGGGGATAGCAGAAAGACAGGATTGGGAAAGGCAAAGACACAAAAACAAGAAAGATATTGCTGTGGCTGAAAGGCAGGGTGAGTAAGACACCTGGCATGGAAGGAGGACAGAGAGAGAAGAAAGTAAGAAAGGGTGAGAGAGGGCAGGAGAAGACCGGGTCATGATTGTATTGAAAATTGTATGCGAGAGTTAGAAAGAAGCTGAAAGAAGTTTTGATTATGAAGATAGCTGTTTTCCATTAAGAACGGAGTAGTAAATATTGAAAAGATTCTTCTTTAAGATGGCACAAGAAAAGGTGTCTCCAGGCTCCTTCAGTGAACCACTGTCCAGTTCCTGGATCAGGCTTTTTTTCTTCTTAATCTGCTTCTAGTGCACAAAGTCTAATCTGTTCTAGAAAAAAGTGAAATATTGTTACATACTTCGTCCTTGCATTCACACTTCTGAGCACTGGCATACAGTGGTTAGCAATTTAAGACAAGGCTTTTATACCTTGTCTTTCAAAGAGAAGTCCAAAACCTCATGTATGCCATTTTAGTGATGTCACTAAAATGATGCACACCCCATGGAAAGGGTAGAAAATAGTACCACATTACTTTCAGTTCTTTCCCAAAGTTTACTTTCTCTGGTGCACAAGTCTCTTGGTTTTCACAAGTGTAAAACAGGTGAAGTAGAAATGGGGTTACCAGAAGGCAGACACTAAATGAGATGTGGATTCCAAGCTTCTTATTACACAAGAATAGTGCACCCAGTGGAAATGGGCATGACAACAGCTTGATGACATCATTGAGAAGATTCATATTCTCTGTAAAGACAAGTGTCACACGACTACCTGATTTAGGGCAACCATTAAAATGGCACTATGGCCTCCTATGGAAGACTATGTAGAGGAAGTATCCCCTGTAAATATATATTTAATTATATTTCATTTTAAAATAATAATAATAATTGCTTACACTTACTGTATATAGCGCTTTTCTAGACATTCCACTCAAAGCACTTTACAGGTAATGGGGACTCCCCTCCACCATCACCAATGTGCAGCCCCACCTGGATGATGCGACGGCAGCCATAGTGCGCCAGAACGCTCACCACACATCAGCTATCAGTGGGGAGGAGAGCAGAGAAATGAAGCATATTCATAGATGGGGATTATTAGGAGGCCATGATTGGTAAGGGCCAATGGGAAATTTGGCCAGGACGCCAAAGTTGGCCGGGGTTTTACGTCTCATCCAAAGGAAGGCGCTTGTTTACAGTATAGTGTCCCCATCACTTTACTGGGGCATTAGGACCCACACAGACTGCAGAGTGAGCAACCCCTGCTGGCCCCACTAACACCTCGTCCTGCAGCTACCTTAGTTTTTCCCAGGAGGTCCCCCAGTGCTGACAAGGCTCACACCTGCTTAGCTTCAGTGCGTTGCCAGTTGTGAGCGGGTGATATGGCTGCTGGCCTAAAAAAGATTGCCTGTGTTAAAAGTAATAATTTATAACTAAAAATGCAAAAGTGAAGAAAACCTTTTACAAAAGACAGGATTGTGAATTATCCCACAGGCACTTTCCAGTATTTGATCCTGGATTTTGAGGTTTGGAGCCAATAGGGGGCACTGGTATGTCAGGTATATTTTCAGCTACAATCTTAAGAAAGCAATTAGTTTTTAGAAGATAAACTAAAGGATTACAGATGTTGAGCACATGATAGTTAAACTTTAATATTGTAGTTTGTTTAAAAGTTATCTTTTTATGTAGTCTAACTGTGTATTCAGTGGTGTGAAAAAGTGTTTGCTCCCTTCCTGATTTCTTATTTTTTTGCATGTTTGTCACACTGAAATGTTTCAGATCATCAAACAAATTGAAATATTAGACAAAGATAACACGAGTAAACACAAAATACAGTTTTTAAATGAAGGTTTTTATTATTAAGGGAAAAAAAATCACTTTTTCACACAGGGCCATGTAGGTTTGGAGTTTTTTTCCCTAAATAATAAAAACCTTCATTCAAAAACTGCATTTTGTGTTTACTTGTGTTATCTTTGTCTAATATTTCAATTTGTTTGATGATCTGAAACATTTCAGTGTGACAAACATCCAAAAAAATAAGAAATCAGGAAGGGGGCAAACACACCACTGTATATAAATGTTTCTGTTGTTTTATACAATTACTAATTCCAAAGATATGGATATCCAATTTTATTTTCAATTATAAACATTTTTATTTCAAGTTAAGATACCTTACCAAGAATCCATTAATACATAAGAAGCTAGAAAGGTAAGTAAATATGAAAATTTTCCCACCACATTAGAATAAAAAATAATCATGGAAATAAATTTGATTTCTACATCTTTGCTAAATCAGTTGCTAAAAAGTTGTATGTTTCTGATCAACATCTTTCTTCATCAGTTTAGGAAGAAGCATTGCAATATAATTGCTATTGTTCAAAACTTCTTGTTGCACTATGATTACATTTCTCTCTAAAGAGCTAGAGAATATTTTTTTACCGCAAATGTCCTAAAACAAATTGTAAACAAAAACTTTGAGTACAATGTAAAAACCTCCTGTTTTCTCAGTCATTAATTTGTGCCCTTCAGTTCATCCACCTCTAAAAATATTTCCATTTGTATGTTCTGTAGCAAAAGAGTCAACAAGGAAAAACAGCCAATTTCCAAAAACAAGGCACCAGCCAAGCTCCTGTAGTGACTAGATAGGAATAATTCTGTGTAAATCCTTAAGTCTGAACAATTTTGTTTGTGGTACACATTCACTATTAACACAAACTACTAAATTACAAATCTATGAATATCAGAATACTCATTCCCTTGCTTGTTTTCTGGCACATCCTATCTTTTGTTTAGAAATTCACTGCACAGAAAAAGAAATTGTATGAAAATTCATGTAGCTACAGTACAATCCATGCTTTAGCCTGTTATCAGCCATGTAAAACAGCAAAAAAGATAGATGTATTATTAGATATTTTCGAGGTGGGTAAAGGAAAGGAGACAACATATTAAATGATTTTACTTCATTAATTATTTTTACTTTAAGACATATACAGTACAGGTATATAAAGTTGTTTTTTCAAATTTGACCTAAGCATTTTGGCACTGTGCAGTAAAAGTATAAAGGTGCTTCTGCAATGTTTCACTTCACATGTCTTATTTATATAACTTCACCATAATAAAAATGTAAATATGCATATAACAAAATAATTATAGTTGATGTCAAACCTGGGATTAATAATATCAGGTTATTATTCAATAAGTATTTTTCCACTGTTTCAATGTTTTAAATCCAAAAAATGTGAAAGTTGTTCTTAAAACTTTATGACCATGCATTATGAATGGAGGCAGTGTGAAGGGGAATGAACACTAGTGGTATACAAGTCTGATATTAGAGAGGAGTCCCTTTTGTGCTTACTAGACAACAACAGTCTTATCCCCAACAAGTGCAATATGGACCATGCTTACTTATTTATTAGGTGTTATTTAACAGGAGACTGTAGAGGCAATTCTGCAGTGAGAAAGCTGAAGAACAGTGGGATACACTGCAAGGCTGTAACCAAATCCAAGAGTTTGTGTGGGATCATGATGTATCCAAGTTAAGCTAGAGCTGTTTTAAGATATCCACACCACCAGCATTCAGTTACATCTTCTGAGAGTGGACACATCACGAACCCAGGATGCTGTTGTATTGTTTCCTTTTCAAAATAAATGCTTGCACTTCTTTTGTAATATAATAAACAGAATTTCCATTCACCGTAGTGTCTTGGGATGATAATTAGGTTCTTTTATTGTTGTTTCTAGCAGAAACAAGCAGTGTTTATAATGCTATTCATCTAAATGTCAGTTATTCTAAATTTATTAACAAACACTGAAACTTTATTTTACAACAGAACTTGGACCAGTAGGGTTTCTTATTTTTCCCCCTCATTAAAGTGATAAATTAAGGTTTTTCCTATACTGTATGTATCTTATTCTTATGTAATTATAAAAGGAGAATCCATAGTCATGTGTATGAGAGAGCTGCTAAAATATTTTACCTTAAACTGGTTATTCTATACAGGCATTCTATCTGGAGGATAGTAATTTTCTCTGATTAATCACATTTTCTGCAAATCCCATCTTCAGCATAATTGTCAAAAGATAGGAATTCAAGTCAAAGTGCCAACCCAAGTTAAAAATTAAAACATTACATTTCAGCTAGAACATTTCATTTCAGTGGTAAAAATAACAGAGCTACTGTACACTATGAAATGCATTTTAATTTAATTGTATATCCCTGACTAATGTCACAGAGGGATTTCCAAAGATTTGGAGCAGAGAAAAGCTTAATTGAAGACTTGTCCTGTACAACGTTATGATAATGGAGAAAAGCAGACATCCACCAACTGGTTAACATGGCATTCAAGTGAGAGACTGAAATATAAACCAGAATTTACTGCATCCAGCATAACCCCTAAACTCTACATATTCTTAGCAAGAATAGAATGCCCATTAACAAATGAGAAGAGAATACAAATGTTGAAAAATAAATTAATTATTTAGGACAAATTCTGTTTTGGTGACATTTAAAAAAAAGTTGCCATCGAGCGAGTTCATTATTTTAGTCAGTCACAATTCTAGTACAGTATATCCACTGCTCTGTGTGGTACTCAAAGCACAAGTAAATGTGGGTATCGTATCATCAGCACAGAAGGAAAATGAATGGCACCTAAGAACCAGAGTCAAAAGGTAAACAAACTCACAATACCAGAGAACACACATGGCAGCATCAGATAGGGACCTACAGTAAGAAAAGTGTATTTATTGCTTACCAGTACAGGGCAAGTGAAGAGTACCTAATCAATCTGTGCCAAGATGTTCTTGAGAAACGGGTCAATGTCATACAAAATCAGACTGAAGCGTTCCCCAATGTGGTTATGTTACTTAATAGCAATAAAGTATATATGATTTGTGTTGACTTTTACTGAAATAAATAACTATTGTTATTTTATTCTGCCAGAGCACTGCATAATTATGTCTTCATCACTTCACTTCAGTGTCATGTATATTTTGCATCTCATCAATTTAAAACTGAAAATAAATCTTTACATTTTTGTTTACTGTCAATTTGTTTCTTCATAGACTTCATGGTTTCTTCTAATACCATTTTCTGCTGCATCTTACAGATATCTGCACTGCTGTTTTTCTGTTCCAGAGTGTGCTCCAGCTCTTAATTTACATACTGTAAATACATATTTGTTTGATAAGTAACATATTTCATGCTAAACACTTGAATCAGTTTATCTTGAAATGGGTTGTCAGGATCGTGTTATGGAACATAGATGCAGAGCATAGCATAGCTGATTTGAGGCCATTGTAGTGCCATGTGAAAGGGAATTAACCTAAATATTCCTTATTGCTTCATATGTGATGCTCTGGCTGCTCAGAGATCTCCATGGAATTAATAAATCCATAAACCCACGAGGCTGTACCTTATTGAACAGGCTAATATATCAGCAATGAATGTTGTTTGTAGTCCCTATTCTTTTGATTTATGGGCAAAAAATAGCTTCAAAGTAGATAAGGCAATCATACTGCATATCCTATAAGAAAAAGCATTGGAAAGCCTATATATAAGTCTAAAGTGCAAAACTCAGAACTTATCAGAAGTGAATGTCTCAATTTTTATAATACAGTAATATGTACTGAAGAACTAATATTTAAAAATATTTACTGCTGATATTTTGTGGGCAAATATATTGTACTATATCTGTGGGTATAATATATTATGTTAGACATAATATAATAATACTACAAATTATGTCAGTAAATAAAAGACTGATATGATACTTTGACAAAGTTTATTTACCCAGAAACACACACAAATTAATTGTGTTGAGAACAAGGTAGCGTCTTATTTTTTCCATCGCTCAATTGACCTCAATGACTACCACAAATATAAAAATGAATGAAACTTTAGCCTGTGCAATTTATGTCAGTTAATACTTTTAAGTGGTATCTCCCATTATAACAAATCCTGCTAATGACAACAATAACATGAAGTACAGGAAAACTCCCAATCTTACCTTAGAACAGAGCTGTGTGCCGAGTTTGTTTCAACTAAACCATTTCAGTTTCATGGAATCTTCCTCTGATGGGAAGGTGGGGTCTTCTGTCAGACATAACCTATAAGGTTCTATAGGCTTTTCATGTTAATTAAGATCACTGTCCTGGGAGCTGAGTGCTCATTAGTGAAGAAGCTAATAAAGATTAAAATACAATCTTGATCCGTGTCTACATGCACTTGGCTGACACAGTTTTGACTTTCTGATTGTAGAAAAGTCTTGTGGAGCAGTTGTCAAATGAAGCTCCTCAAAAATGGAACCATACTTCCATTCGCTCAACAAAAATGTTTTCACAGTTCAAAGATTGCCTCTTTAAATTTCTCCACATAAGGAAGACATTGGAATCCAAGTTCAGTATTCACTTAGTAATCCATCTATAGTGCCTTACATCACAGTTTTAGATTATTTTTTTAGAGCACTATCACAGATATCTTAATAGTATCACCAGTAAAAAACATGGGAAGAAAGAAGTTAAAATATGTACAGTATTATATTATTATCCATTACAGGATGGAATATTATATTACTCTCTGTATTACAATTCAGAGAGCATTGTGATTCAGCAAGATGTAATGTATATTCATACCCTTAATTCATAATAAACCACACTTGTCTGCATAATTAGTTTAAATGACTTAACTAGTATTTGTTCAAATGAGCCTTTTCAGATCATGGATTGAAAGAATTGTTTTAGGTTTGTTGTATGTATCACAAAACCAATTGGTAGAATAGGAGGTTCCTTATGCATAAACATGAATATCACAGAACACAGAGTAGCACAGGGACAACCCAAAAGACATAATCCAGGGGCTTTGTCAAATAGGGAGGCAAAGAGCCTGGTAATAAGGGAAATCCAAAAAGACAACCCAAAAACAAAATCCAAAAGGCAGGAGCAAAATTAGGAATCAGGAGATCAGTCAAAAGGTTTAGAAACACACAAGAGAGTCCTACTGGAGGCTTTTCAATAGTGAACAAGGGTTGGTGTATGAGGGAACTTTAAATACTGAAAGGAAAGGGATGTGGTTGGATAATTGGTTCCGGAGTGAAAATTTGTGGAATCTGGTGCACGTGGGAATGTGATGGGTTCAATTAGGAATGAGATTATGAAACAGTGGTTCTGGGAATGCAACGCCGTTTGTGAGGGAGAGTGTGGGGCGTGACAGGAATGGAACGGCATTTGTGAGGGAGAGTGTCAGATGTGACAGTATGAATGTACTTTGTTGAAAATCAAGTCTTTTTATTATCAACATTTCTTGTTTCTTCAGCACAAAACCTAGTACAGCACAATTATCAACTATATTTCATCTTCCATATGTGCAAAATATAAATTGCCTGGTTAATTAGGAAGGACAAAGACTGGTTAGGGCTGGAGAGTGGGAAAGTAACTAACATATTTTAACTTTTCTAATGTGAGACATTTTATCTTGTTTCTAGAACAGCTTTTAAATTTATTCAAGACAGAGATTATTGTCTCAGATTATGGTTTTCAGTAATAAACAGCTGTATTCAGGAGTTTCAAGCAGCACAAAACAGAACTTAGTGTTTTTATTGTGGCAAATGGGAAAAGTATTACCGGCACTCAAAGAAGACATCCCTCACTGTTCTGTCTTCCAGAGACCTCCTCAGTCCTGATGGGAAGGTCTGGTATCTGCGTACTTCCAGTGGCAGAGGTGCAGAGGGGATCTTATTCTTCTTCACAGAGGGCAGGTCTCTAATACAGACAGCACTGTTATCTCCTACTGGTACCATAATGTCTCTTCTCATCTGTAAGAAACTTATTTCCACAGCCACCCCCCAAAAATCTCCATATTTCTATGCATATGTCCATCTTTGAAAAATATCTCTTCATATAGTAAATATGTTTCCCAGGTTTAATTTGAAACACCTTCATTACTGGCTTTCAAAACTCAACAAAAATTAAATGCAGTTGCATTCACTTCTGTAAAGACCAGAAAAAAATGGCTAATATCTATAGCATGGTTTCTGTAAGACCAAAGCTATTTTGATAGTTTTCAATATTTTTAAAATAATCTGTAGTAATTGGAACACATTTCTATTGTCTAAGTTTACATTTGTGCACCATTGATCAAGTTCACCTTAATGAAATACTGTATGCAATCTTTCAGACTTATGCATTTCAGAACACCCTCACCTTCACTGAAGTGTCATAGTGTTATTCTATTTCATAGAATTATCTTACTACTTGTCCCGATACTTCAATATGCTGCAGAAAACACATTAGTAGGAAACAGTCTCTCTAGGTCTATTAAAAAGACATGCTGTTAGTTCCTATCAATAGCTCCTCAAAATCTCTCATAAATGTCTGCATTTTAGTATCAAGACAGGATGGATAGGATACTGTACAAACCTCACTATTTCAACATAATAGTATATCAGAAATGCTCAAATGTATAGCACAATGCCATTGACATAAGTACAGTATTAAGAGTAAAATACATTTAAATGTAGTACTGTATACTGTATACTGTATATGAGTTAACAGTAAAAATCAAATGACATGGCAGATATTGCTGAAATACCTACACATTATATAAAGAAAATTACATGTAAACCATCAGTTTGAGCATTAATTATTCAGAAGTAAATCTATAAGTACTGTAAACTAATTTTACAGCCATTTATTTTTTTATGTTTTTCCTTAAAACCATACAGACAGGAGTGTACATTTCCCTTTCAGTCACAATGATTCGGACAGCATTCAGACCTAAACTGAATGTGACAACAGAACCAAGTGTTTGACACTCCAGTTGATGAGCTGGGCAGTCAATTACTCATTATTTTAAACAAAGCCCCTGACAGAGCAAGGGTGAGAAAAGTTACTAAAGGATACAACATTATATGATCATCTATCCGTGATCCCCATTCAGCCCAAGGATTGACTGGGAATGAAGCCTTGAGAAAAATAAATGTTTCCCATGATGGAGAACTGAACACAACTATCAAACATGGAATAAATGGTAACTATTCACATACTGTAAATGTGGTTGACATGGAAAGAGGAAAAGAACTCAAAGAGAAGATTAATTGCTAAGATCAAGATTCATTGTTTTAAAACTAATACTGAGCTTGCTCCTGATTTAGATTTAATCAAATGCCATGTATCAGAACACCTTTAAGAAGCAAAAACTATCATAAAATAACAAATAAAAGTAGGTACAAAAACTACAGATAATAGTAATATTGAAAAACTAAAGATTCATTTCTGGGAGGAGACAGTATTTGAGAAAAAAACAAACAGGATTGTTTCAAGAACTTAATTTTACAGTAAGAAAAAAGTGGTTTAAAGTTTTTTACACTACAAATATTGTTTGTGTTTTTAATGGCTTTTTTCATGATTATAGAAGAAAGCACAGAAATTGGCTTGTGAGTAAAGATTTGTTTATCAATAAGACATGACCCTAAACATGACTTAATTTGCTCAAAGTTTTGAAACTGAAATATTTGCCTGATCTTAATCCCTTTGATGTTTTATGGGATGCTTATGGAAAAAGAACAGCCCAGCACATACTGTATACACTACATAGACAATAGAAGAGAACCAGAACTAATAGTGAATACTCTATTCTATTGGATTCTATTCTAAAGTATGTTTTTAAATAGATTTGTCAAGCAAACAAAATAAAGCATACAATATTGTCTGTGGACTTTAGAATGTAAGTGGTTTTGGTCTTAAGAGAGAAGCTTATGTTTTGGAGACAGTAAGCAACTTAGCTGTCTCGTTGTATTTATAGATAGGGAAACTTTAGTTAGAGCTTGAAATACAGAGTTAGGCCTTGTGTAACCAAAGCCTGAATTATTTTTACATCTGATGTGAAATGTTAGAATGTGCAAAGATCTGTGAGGTACGCTACCGGAAACCATATACTGTGGGGATCTATCACATATTAAAACACCTCACTAGCCAGCAGAGTACAACAGCCCCTTGGAAGCCTAAGCTTCCTAGTTTTTAATGCAGTTTAGCCAAGTCTTCATCTTGTCTAAATCTTACTGTACCTCTCATATTTCTTAATTTTACATTTATTTGTGTGGCATTATTGTACTGAAAACACTTCAGTGCAATGAAAAGAATATCTTTTGGTGGTTATGGGGAAATTATACATTAACTTACTGATCTGTGCTTATTTAGTTCTTCAGAAGTATAGGAGAATAAAGTAAACTTCTCAGAACCTAGGTCCCTGACCATTTAAAAATGCCAATATTACTCATATGAATCTAAATCTTCTTGAAGTTGGTTGGTAATTGACATTCCTTTGGGATTTTCAATTGCCTGTGCCAACAAAGAAGAAATTGATTTTGGTTTCAATCAGATAACAAATTAGCAATATTTCTGCTTGGCTACATTGTAAGAAGAAATGTGTTCAGTCAGAACTAAGCTGGATGGTGTGAGATATTACTGTTGGTAGAAGTATTATGTTCACAAAAGGAGAATGAAAGAGGGTAAGAAATGCCAATAAAAACACAGACTGTATATTTTCATGTTAAAACAGATCAAATACTAGAAACAAAAATTCAAATGAAAATGATTCCTTTTTTCTCTGGGTATTATTGGAAATTATTGGAAGGTTACTTACTTCAAAAATAACCGTTACTCTTTGTGAGCAGAAAAGAAATTTCTTACTAAGAACAATATACACATCAACAATAACAATATTTACATTTCCCTTCGAGATCAATAAAGTTTTATCTATCTATATGACATAAAATTATTTTGAAACAACCTCTTTTACAGCATTTTGCACTGACAAGTTTTTCTTTTGGATTCCTCACTCACTGATATATTGTATGCAAAAGAACACAAATACAAGGAACAATAACTGGAAGCCTAATAGCGAACTCAAATTTAAAAGGCAGCTTAAACATTAACAATCTATTCCCACTTTTTTGTTTTTGTAGAGCTCCCATTTTTGTATCTGTGGCATGATGTTTTGTTCAGTTTTTAAAAATTAAACAAAACTTTATTTTAAAAGCACTGACAAACGTTTTAATATGATAATTACAAACAGATGTACAATCCATGACCACGTCCCAGTACATGAGTTCTGGTACTAATGAATGTAATGAAAATGATTCATATGATACTTGTTCAAGCAATAAAACGCACATCTGGAGTATAAGCTGACTACAAGCTTGTTCACGACTGGGTCTGGGTCCAATAATGGTCAGTATAACCCAATCAGCTGAGAGCGGCTTGGGTTGTATGGGTTTGTACTTCATCCAACATTCCAACAGCCTTTCACAAAGTGGCAACCCTTTGACTTCCTAGATACCTGTGAAGTTGTAGTGCGGTCAATGAGACCTACTGTTCAATCATTCTCTTTTCGATGCCTCTGAAACCATGTCCTCAGTGTGCAAATAAAAACAGCAGAGGGCAAGAAAGCTATTTTGCTTCCCTGAGCTAGCATGAGGTCTTAGCAATGTAATTAAGTAGTTCAAGTAGCTCTTTCTTGCTATAAGTTTAAGGTTTTGGAGTAGGGAGTGGCATCCTTTGCATTTTAATAATAATTTAATAATAACTGTATGGTAGTTAATCAGATTGCAGTGTGATGCCAACTTTGAGTTTCCATCGACCCCTCAATACATCTCCATACAGCGTTAAAAATAATCAGTGAAAGAGTGGGTGATCATTAAACATGTATGATATGCTTTATAGTGTAATCTGTCACATTTTCTATAGAATGAAACACACTGCAACTTTATTTTTGGGTTTTTATTGCAGCACATTTTAAACTTACAGTTATGCTTTATAACTAACACATTAAATTAAAAAATAGTTATACATACCATAGTATATATATTTACTCTTATTGGCTATGGTGGTGTATTAACTCTAATTTACACCATCTACTTATTTTACTGTTTTAAAGGGATATTTTATTTGAATGTAAGTGTCAAGATTGTCATGCAATGACTAACTAGAGTGATCAATTTTGTAGTATGATAGCTATGGATTGATTCAGAACTGATAGATTACAGGACAATGGACAAAGGGAAATTAACCTGTACTTTTTCTGCTTGTTGAGGGTATGTATACTGCTTACCCATCAGTATTTTATATCTGATATGTTGGAGAAACTGTAATTTGAACACATGATATACAGTAAATGAAAACAAGCGTTATGATATTGTGTTTTCCAGCTAATTTAATTTCATTACTTTGGTAAAAATTGTAGTTCAGATTAAATGATGTGACTAATATAAACTGATAGTGTAGTTAATACTTTGACATAAACTTGCTTGGCTGAAGAAATGACAATGCTGGTTGACAATGAGCACTGTGACAGCTCCCCTAACTCATGAGGAATGAACCAGGGAGGTAGCTACTGTACAATGGTGTTTTGGAGGAGGAGAGAGGAAGACTAGAAAACAGGGCTATGGGCAGCAAGGGAGTATTTACAGTATACATAGGAGAGTGGAAGAGCAAATTCTCCAAGCTTGCTTTAATTGCTTGCTTTTCAAGGTGGTAGAGCCTGTTAAAATTGTTTTACTAACTGCAGTAAAAGACTGAGATGAACATGAAGTACAATCTACTCCAAATTGTTTTTAGTCACTAATGCAGTTTGGGCACCCAGAGACCTTCACTCGGACATTTGAGTTGACAGTGTGCATCCTGTTCATCTTGGGTTTTTTAAATTCCTGTTGGATGGTACCTTTTGGAGTACATATTCCTCTCTTTTTTGTATCTGTTTGCATGGAAACAACCAGAACACATTTTTAATCTTTGCCATACAATGTTTTTCCCC